TCCTCCTCCTCCTCCTCCCCCATCCGACCAAACCAGGGCTTAGTCATGCAGTTGGAGCGTATGTTTTTCATTTGGACTCTCCCCCACACCTCTGCGCCTCTCTGTCCCTCCGGAGTCAGTATCATCCTGTTTAATCATCACATGATCGGCGTTTTTCTAAATAAATCCGCCTCGCTCGCCAGAACCTGCAAGTCATTCCATGTGTGACAGCAGCTTTCTGGAGCTGCTGGGAGGCTTCACGTCACACATGTGGCCGCTGTCACCGTGCGGCCTGTTTGCTCAGCCAGGCAGGGACGAGGTTAATCACTGACCAACAGGGAGGAAGCACAAAGTTGTTGTGTGTCAAAAGACAAATTGTTCTTTTTGAACCGGAGCCAAGAGGACAGCTTTTCCCCAAAGTCCCATGTCTGCTGAGGGGAGAAAGGAAACTGGAGCCCCAGAGCTCCCAGAGGCATCATCAACTGGAAACCTCTTCACCTCCACTTTGCCTTTTAATGGCGGGTATAAATATCTGCAGCCTCCTGTTTCAAACACGGCTGTCGAGGGAAGTTTGCTGCAAATTATGTTTGTGCATCTACTGGAGAAAGTCGCCAAATGAAATCCAGATTTGATGCAGAGCAGCTATTACTCAACACTAACAATGCTGAGGAGAACATTCCTCCCAGAAGTAAAGCTACACTAAATCCAATATTTACCATTTGGACCAGAACACCACTTTGACCCTGTTTCTCTATTTTCCACAAAGTCACTGCATAGTTTAGAGAGAGAGGAAAAAAATCAACCTCCAATTTAAACAAAGCCGTATGTTGCTGAATTTTATTGACCAAAGTCTGCGAGCTTCAGCACCGGGCTCGGATAACAGTGGATCAGTGTGCGGACGGCTCGTTAAGGAGCCCAAATCCTGCTGATGTGGTCGCCGGGCTGCAGCGAGGCCTCGTTATGCAACCGGTTTGTACATTTCAGGACACCAGAAAACATAAAAAGTGTTGTCTTACACCACTCGGGGCTGGTTGGCCGACAGCCACTCGAACAAGTGAGGAGGAACGTTGATCTCCTCCTCCTCCTCCTCCTCCTCCTCCTCCATGCCGCCGACCGCCACAAGATGGAGCCAACAAAGAAGGCTGAAAGTTCACATTATTTATTTCTTTTTTTTTTTCAAACAAAGTGCTTTTTGTCATAAGTTAAACTTCACATGTCTGGACGTGTCCCTCTGACAGAATTCCCTTTGACCAACAGAAGCATCATCCAGACGTGTTCATCTGGATCAGAACCGGCACACAACAGAGTTCTCATTACAGTCATGGACGAGCAGAACCGCTGCTGTCGGGCTCCTCTTTCACTCAAAGTCCCAAAGCGGTGATGAAGAGATTCCTGCTCCTGCCTCGCCTCCTTCCAGCTCCTTCTGTCCTCCTCCTCCTCCTCCCGTCTTGGTCACTGGCTGGGGCTCCTCTCGCCTCCTCGCACCGCCGTCATCAGGTGACTCTTGTAGGTCTTGCTCAGTCCGGTCATCCAGTACTTGAGCAGCCGGACGTTGTCCTCCTCGCTGGGCCCGGTGGCCCCGAGCAGGGCCAGGACCTTCTGGGTGTCCTCCCGCCCTCGACCGTCCACTTTGGAGAACTTGAACAGCACTTTGACTTTACTGGAAGAGACAGAAGTCATGAGAAAACAAACGTCAGAGAAGAAGAATTAAACAGAAAGAACAGAGGAATACACTCATCCACGAGTTACCGGACACAGAGAGACTTGGAGATTTAGGAATCAAATAAAACTCAATTAAGACAAAGTTGTAGCCATAATTATGATGTAATGTACGATGTAATGACTCGGGAGGGAAACACGTAATGATTATTTTCACTGCTTTTCTGAGTTAATCGATCAGCTGTTTGGTCTCTAAAACGTCGGAAAATGTGGATCAGAGTTTCCTCAGATGTCTTGTTTTCTCCACAGATCTTCAGTTTACTGTCACAGACGAAGAAAGAAATCAGAAAATATTCACATTTAAGGAGCTGGAATCATAATTTAGACGGTTTAATACTAATCAATTAAGCTTTAGGTTGTTTTTAACTGGTAGTTGAACAAAAGACGTGTTTTTAAAGACACTTGGACACTTTTCCACCAGCCTGTGAGACAAAACGCTAAAAATAATCCACCAAAAAATCCGCTGATGCATGAACATGATGGTTGGTTCTCCTGAAGAGCTGTTAAAGGAGATACTCGTTATGTTCTGTCCCACTCGTGTAATTAGTGCTAAAGTCTGTTAATTAAAAGTAATGTTCCTCACTTCATCCACTCCTCCTTCAGACACAGCAGACAGTGAGACACGACGTCCACCGACAGGTTCTCGTTAGACAAAGCCACCTCCAGCTTGTTCAGTAACGTCGGACCTGGAACAAAAAGAAAAACATTCAATCGATTAACAATCTGGGCTGAAAAGGACATTTTCCTTAAAAATGACTCCATTCATCAGCCAGAAACTGTAAAAACACAAACATTTGTTAATTAAAATCCTGATGTTCCACATGTCTCATTAAAGGATCCTCCAAAAAAA